GTAGGTCACGGTAAAACAGATGCAAACATTGTTGGGGTAAATGCTGATCTCTCTCCTCTCTCTCTCTTCTCTGTCTCTGTCTCTGTCCTTGTCTGTCTCTGTCTCTGTCTCTGTCTCTGTCTCTGTCTCTGTCTCTCTGTCTCTGTCTCTGTCTCTGTCTATGTCTCTGTCTCTGTCTCTGTCTCTGTCTCTGTCTCTTGTCTCTGTCTGTCTCTGTCTCTGTCTCTGTCTCTGTTCTGTCTCTGTCTCTCTGTCTCTGTCTCGTCTCTGTCTCTGTCTCTGTCTGTCTCTGTCTCTGTCTCTGTCTCGTCTCTGTCTCTGTTCTGTCTCTGTCTCTCTGTCTCTCTCTCTTCTCTCTTCTCTCTCTCTCTCTTCTATCTCTCTCTCTCTCTCTCTCTCTCTCTCTCTCTCTCTCCTCTCTCTCTATCTCTCTCTCTCTCTCTCTCCTCTCTCTCTCTCTCTCTCTCTCTCTCTCTCTCTCTCTCTCTCTCTGGCGACTCTTGGTGCATGGATAAAGCAAATCACCATATGAAAGTTGTCTTTTTTTATCTCGATTCGGATAACGTAAGAAACTCGATCGAGCTCAGGAACTCTTCGCACGCGCCGGATCTGGCAGGGACGGTCTCGTTGCCACTGGCTTCAGAGGAACAGCTGCACGGGCTCCGCCACGAAACTGGCGACTCTTGGCGCATGGATAAAGCAAATCACCATATGAAAGTTGTCTTTTTTTATTTCGATTCGGATAACGTAAGAAACTCGATCGAGCTCAGGAACCCTTCGCAGGCGCCGGATCTGCCAGGGACGGTCTCGTTGCCACTGGCTTCAGAGGAACAGCTGCACGGGCTCCGCCACGAAAGGTCCTGGACAGAACGGGCAGACGGCCATGCCCGTGTCAGCCGCCGCCTGCACGTGGCGCAGGCAGGCGAGGCAGCCAAACGCGTGCATGCAGGGCATTACCGCCGCTCGCCTCACCCGCGGGCTCCACGGCTCCAGGCAGATGGAACAGGTCTGCGAAGAAAGGCGAAAAGCATGCGTTAAGTCTCGAGCTGCTTCAACGTTGGTAGCGCGTATAATACATTTGCAAGCATCGCTAGTGCGTAACTGTTGTCACTATGCGCTGCGGCATATCATGTTGGGTTCCCGTATTGCACCATTCCACTCCGTTTTTAACTCACTTAGACAGCCCGTCAACCCGAAAAGTGCAAAATTTATTTTTACAGCATCGTACTTATACCGCATTAGAATTTACAGAACCGCGAGCTTGTGCTGGCATGCGGTGGTGGAGCTGGAAGCGCATAGATCGAATCTCTATTATTTTGGTTGTGCTGTTAACCTACTCATAGGACAACCTCAAAATAATTAAGGTGAAATATGCGTTCCAGTCTAATCTTTGAATGGTACAATTTGGTTTTGGAAGGCTTCGGAAGCATTTCAGTGCTACCTGCGGCGGCCGGCCCCGTTTGAGGTTACTGAAACTGCTATAGCCGCCTTTACTCCAGAATTACAAACGCGCAAGCTAAAGATTTGTTATGCAATTCGTTTCTCAAATCGATTCTGTAAAATTATGTTCGATAATTCCGTTCTTCGATTCTAGATTCGAACTCCATCGCTTCTGGTCCCAAGCGAACATTGCGTAGGCTTGCGTTCAGGTCTGACTTAATATCCATCCTTTCAGACACTAATGAGACCATTTACCAATATTTTGAGCAAGGGCCCCGCGAGAAAGCTGTAGGAAGGCCTTTGCATTGTCTCACTGCGGACTCGAATAAGATGTCATATGTCGTTGCAGGCTGTCATAACGGGATATAACAGTTATAATATCTCATTGCCTTGTCAGAGAGCCCCGACCAACGCATGAGGTCCTCTGGCCTGTGAGGATCGGTCCCGGTCCCTGTTTAGCAAATGTTCCTCTGGCCGACTTGGGCCCTTCCTGACACATGGGCCCCCTGTCATGGACCGTGGGCCCCTGACCGTCACAGGGACGCCTCATTGTCTCGGCCAATGTAAATTGCGGGGCCCGGTCTCGTCCCTGGTTGGGAAATGAGCCCTCAGGACCCAGACCGACACGCAGCCGACTGTTCGGTGTTCGTGGTCTCTACACGAAATTTGGAGTCCACATTGGCCAGTGGTCATCGATAGGTTGAGAGGCACTCCTGACAGACATTTGAGGGCCTCTGCCGTAAGTTGCCGTGCTACGAACACAATTAGAGGGTCAGGGATCAAGGCCAGGCTCTGCGATGGGCGTCAGGGTAAGGCCTTGTTATGAACTTCAGCAGTCCGCTTTTCCCGCCGTATAGCCTGTGTATGACATTGGTTTCGAGTGTGGTGTACCACTCTTCATATTAAATCATTGACCTTACGGCCTTTTAAAACCTTTTGTTTGCTCGCCGTTTCGTAGCTTCCAACGCGGTCCCCTTGTCCAGCGTATATGTCTGCTTAGGTGGCGGCATGACAGTAGGCCTGCCTACATAGCTGCAGTTTGTTGCTACCAATGTATCTAATGTGTTATATCTGGAGGCACCGGACGAAGTCGTTATGGGAGCAATATGACCTTTGATGTCGACGCGCCCTAAAATCCAAAATCATAATCACACGGAGTAGGAAAAGCCGACCTACGTTCGGATGGTACATAGTAATTTAATGCATAAACGATTCAATATGAAATGAACGTTACAAGACACCAAACTCACTGGGGCAGGCTGTTGCCACGGTCCTTCGTCCGCTGCCGCCTCGTCCGCTGCTGCCTCGACGGCAGCCTCCGGTGCAGCTGGGAGATCCCCGCGTTCATAGGGGTGCTCATTGAGCCCGGCTCCAGGTGCACGCTCCTCTTCGGCTTCCTCGGCGGCCAATGCCGGGTCCTCAACCTACGACGAGGTTTATGTTCGTGAACAAACCTTTATGCCGACGACTGTGATTGCGCTTAGTGCACATTGCTACATTATAAAGCAGTGGTCTTTAAGCAGTTCATCGCGATTGAGGTCCGCGTTGTTGAGCTCCTTTGTAGCAGCCAAATACGGTCCGACGCATGTCACTATGACAACTAACTACCAATCTGGCGCGAAGGAGCGAGGAGCGAGCGGTTGGAAGGGCAGCGCAAACGGCCGCACGGTTTGGGCGGTTTTGGCGGCGGCACAAACTTTCCGATGATGTTCATAGGGACCGTGCTCAAGTTTTTATTTACCGTTTACCGTTTGGTTACGCACTTAAACTGGTTGCAAAGTCTGACACACACGCACGCGCACACGCACGCACACGCATATATATATATATATATATATATATATATATATATATATATATATATATGTGTGTGTGTGTGTGTGTATGCATCACATTCCGGATGTAACATCTCAGATGGAGGCGATGAACACTCCCTTGGATGAAACACCGTCGACGAAATCCATACACTTCGAAATATAGCGGCTTTGGTGGACATCAAAGAACAGGAAACTAATGTTATTGTTTGTTAGCAACAGCTCCTTGTTCCCAAGGTATGTCGGGAGTCGCTCCAACAGAGATCACAAATTTCGATCCCCGTAGGCGCCAATGCCAACATTTGACAGCATGACCAGGGTCAACATATTCGGACATCAGAATTGTGGTGCCTCCTGAAGTCAGCAAGAATTGTGCATCCTGGGCGCGATGTGTTTTCGCGCATGTGAACAAAGTTACTTGATGTGGCTTTAAGGTCAGGGTTGTTCCATATTAGTTTGGCGTACCTCCTCCGGAACGCCCTCCAGGTTTGCCGTTCGCTGCCTGAATAGGTGCTTGGCCGCCTCTAGGTATTCGGACAGGGACCGGCCGCCCTCCACCATCTCCTGCTGCAGGGCCCGGAGACGGCCGTGGATCCAGTGGGAGCGTCTCGCGGAGCGCGCAGTCCGCTGGAGCGTGCCTAGCTCCGCAGCCCGGCAGTCTCTGTTAGCTGCCGCGATCGCCTGGACATGACAGGAGTTGGGCATATATGAACGTTCTGTGGACTAAAACGACTTGGGTTTATTTTCTTCGTGTAGAGCTATGTGTGATACCCATTTCATAAAACATTGGGAGTTGCTAATATTACATTGTTTTGGGACTGGAATTGTCATGCACGACCTAACAAACTTATTTTCATGGGCGGAGTAATGCAAAAAATACCGTACGCACATTCTGTCTTCGACGTGGAGCAGCCTCAAACAGGTTAAGAGTGCAGCGTAAAGAGTGCCTACACGCCTCTGAGGAATTCCTAAGGCGCTGGTCCTAGACGAGAAATATTTAGTCAGCATTATAGCATTACGAGAATACAATGCACTGTGGTTGCGCCGCACGCACTGTGTAATGAGACATACGTCGTTCATTTTGGTCACAAACAGCCAGAAGCTGGGGTGGGCGGTTGGGAAGCTGCTCCTCAGGGTGTTGGAGAATGACTCGGCATCATTGTTTGTGCGCCGAACCAATCCGAAGATGGATAGGTTTCCTGGCTCCACCCGCCCCCGCTGTCTCATCAAGTATTGTGCGAGCCGGGCCAGGGGCGCGGCCAGCTCCAGACGCACCTGAAAACATAGCCTTTGAGTTTTCCGTTCCACTCATCGTTTTCCACACCTCGGCGGACCTGGTGAGCGGTCTATGCTAACCCAGTGCGGCTGTTGCTTGTTTAGACCATGACACTATGATATAGGATATAACAACGCAATTGGGAGCACCTAAAGAATGTTCACGGTTGCATTTCATGCACCCTTAACATGACTTGTAAAATATTGTATTAAGGGGCATGGCGCGTCGCTGAACGCGCTTCAGTTCTGACAGCTTACCAGGGCCGGCGCAGTGGGGGCGGGGAGGGGGAGGTAGGGGGCCCAAGGAGCCATCCACGATACCTTGATCTCTTTGTATTTTCTTGCATGGCCCTACGCTTTCGTTTAGGCACAATCTGCTAGCATGCCTGGGCACTCTTGATCGGTTAGACGACCCCCACGGATTATTCCTATTTGCCTGTAAGGGCTCTATGCGCTTTTCCCCGGAGTGCCAGGGACTCGGTACACTCAGTCGCTCATGTGCCATTCAAATTGGTCTTAGATTATGTTGCTTGGGGGGGGGGGGCTTGTGCTGTTGCTAAGGTCCATAAAAGGTGAGGCACCGAGCCGCTCGATGCTCATGGACTGACTTTATTGATCTAGCGCTCTTTCCCTCCGATTTCGTCTGCGGAGGACCCTTCACTCCCGAGACCTGTATTCACGTACACTGGTCTTGGGTAACTTCCCTTCGCTCAGAGGGCCCTGTGCTCTAACTGGGGTTCTATATTTCAACCTGCCGGTGCAGTCCTGAGCGTTCAACTGCCCGCCATGTTAGTCTTGGTGCCTTAGCCTTAGAGTAGCAGGCAGATATGTGGCCATGAATTTGTATGCGCCATTGTGAAGCAATTAATCCGTTGAGGCAAAAACTCTGCATTAGCCATTAAACACCAGCTCATCACATCCACCGACTAGCTAGCTGGCTTTTCTCGTACCTCGGGCACCTGGCGCTCCAAGAGCAGGGTCCACGCCTCGTGGAGCCGGTCGGCTGGCACGAGGGGAAGAATGACAATCTTCCGAGCCCATCTTGAAAAGGCGGACGCCTCCATGGTGTACTCGGCGCGCAGCCCGAGGCGCCGTATCTGGAAACATGCCGTTTGATTTTATCGGACGATATGCTACACAAATTAAGGAAATTTTGGGACGTGGCTAAGGCTGGGGCAGCGGAGAATGTAGCACATTAAGCCGAAAGGTTTACAATAGGCACTAGGCGATTTCGCTAGAATGTGGTTCAAATATGCAGGATTTTGGAGGAAATCTAACATACCTTAGGCACCACAAACACATTAAGGTGTCGGCATGCGCGTGTTTCTACGGCGCCGTGCACGCCTGGGTGACCCTGAACCAATCACACGGAATTGTCTACACAAGTTCGCGGATGTCAAGCGTGGTGACAAGAAGGTTTAAGTGTTAGGGGGCATGAGTGTGAACTGCACTGAAGGATAGTCAACATGGCTATCTCAGTTCATAACCTCTTAGACATGGGAACACTAATTTTAAGTGGATATACCCATCAGAAATTGGCATGTTGCATACATGCCTCGGCCAGTTTTAGCCAGATATACAAGACGGAAGGGCGCACCCAATGACACGGCAGAACAGCTCCGCACAATGTCGTCATCAGTACTACCGAAAAGCGCGTCACAAATGACAAACTCACTGAACTTTGTCCAAACATGACTGTAAATAGCATGCTCTTTTCTGCTCATGACTTACCTGACGAATGATGGCCTGAGCATAGTGGAACCAGCAGCCGCTCTGCACGGCTTCTGGCCACCCCGCGGCGGCGGCTCCCTGCAGCGCTCGCTCCCAGTCCGAAAGGAAGCGGCGCACTGGGGCACCGAGGACCCGGCGGATCTCACCGAAAACTGCATGGTAGAGCCGCCGGGTCCTACACGACATTAAAACGAAGACGTCGGGAAGCATGGCACCGCTGACTCCCATGAACACCACCAGTAACTGGTGAAACTGGTGAGGCACCACACGGAAGGTCCCATCGGCCTGCACGTTGACATGGTCGTTTGTGGCAGCGTGTGCCACCACGTTCGTCTTGAAGCCGATGGCCACCTGAAATACAAATAATCACACCATGTAATGGTACGATTTTCCAAAAGAGCGTTGGTATTTCACCTCGGCAAACACTGCAGATTATCGCATGGAAATGATTTCAGCCATCTTTTGGATTTGCAATGAGCCACAGACACCTGGCAGTGGTAGCCGAGCTGCTGTTACCCGCCGCGAGATAATGGCAAGCTAAACGAGGCTCTACTGAAAGGAAACGAGCGTTGCACAGCAAGCACGCAAAGAAAGGTAGGGCTGGTGGATTCAGTGCATGCGCCATTTGTTGGGCGTGGCTGCGCTGGGATAGTCGTGGTGAATTTGCCTGAATTCGACAGTTTCTCTGCTGTTTTACCCATTTCTGATATCGAAGTATCCACGTGCTGCCGGATATAGATTAATCAATAGCCTTCCTTGAATTTCAACCAATAAACATTGTGACACCACACAGCAGTAATGAAATCAAAGACAAACGTTTGACCAGCATCTTTGATGATGTCCTCATCGCCTAACGTACCGTTCTAGCCCAGTATACGGGCTGTACCGAAGGCGCAGTTCGTTAGAGCACCTGCCTTCCGTTCCCCCCATTTGCTCACCCGTAGCGGGATGGACTCGAGTCGCTTTCGGCGCTCGCTACTTGCCCATTACTGGCATGGCCTGCGTCCGGTGACAGCGGCCGCGCATAAGACTACGTGACATCAGAGGGCAAGCATGATAGTAAATAGTTGGCTTTTAATCATAATCCTGACATGACCTGCGATCATCTTGCCTACTATCTTCCGTCCCGAAGGCTGAGACTTGATATACCAATGGGTATTTAATGCACTGAGCCACATTTTCGAACCAGCAATGTATGCGTATCCCTGCTTGTGCGAACAAGGCAGAGGTGATTCTTTGCTTCTTGTCGTCTCCTTGTTGTTGAAATGTGCGTTTTCCAGTTGTTACATATCTTAGTAAAGGAAAACGCTACGTGTACATTATCGTTTTGCATCGATTTATCACATCCACACTATTCTAACCTAGTTCCCCGCGTCGGCTCTGGGAGGTTGCGTGCGCCGAAATTGCACATTCAGGACGAGAAGTGATGTACCACAGCCGCACTTGATGGTAGTGAGTTATGCATGTCATAAACGGATGCTGGCATCTGCCCTCCATTCGCATTTACCTCGTCCCCATTGACGACAGAACTGAAGCAGCGGTGTGCTGACAGTCCCGGCCCGGCTGCGTCGATCGCGGCGACTGCTGCGACGGCGGTCTCCGGCACGGCGGGCTGATTGACCCGCCTCTGTCGTAGCATAATCTGCCGCATTTCTTGGCAACTGAGCGCGGCTCCCGCCTCGCCTTGCGCCAGGTGATTGAAAATTTGGCGGTTTGTCCTCCCCTCTACATCATTTTGGACAGCAGTCCTAATTGCCGACGTCACGCTCAACATCTGAAAAGAGGAGGTGCATTCAGATCAAGTTTCTCCTATATATTCGCAAAAGTTCTTTCTGCAAAACGCCGGAACATGCCCTCTCGCATGTGGTCGAAAAGACGCCGGTATGGTCCGAGCAAAATTTGTAGTAGGGGTATATGTGCAGCGACCTGTGCTGCGCGTCTGGGTAACAAAAAATGTAGACAGACTTGCGTTCTTCATTGCAATTATTTTAAAAAGTGTAGCTATTGCAAAATGCGTCATATAACCGCTGCAAGCTGTTCAACAATCAAATATCGCTGGCGTCCCTACCCACGAAAAAAACACGTTGAGGGTGTCTCATAGATCCATTTCATGCAAGGTGTACCCAAGCGTGAATCTGCAGTATCCTGCGAACAGGGGTACCCATACATACATACAGCGCGAGTCCTCAGCACTGAATGGGTGTCCTCAATGGGGATGGGTGTCCTCATCACATACCTCGTTATCCAGGTGAAGTGGAGCATGAGTATGCGGCCGGTTTAGGCGGATGCGCCCACCGTTCAAAACGGCCGTCCCCAAGCATCTCACTGCAGTGTTCTCACGCTGATGGCACCTGGTGACATACACGAGATAGCTGTCACACGCCACATTGTGTGCTTCATAATGGATGGCAAGCAGAGCGTAAAAGACAAAAACAAAATGGCATCTGTTATAATGCTTTCATACTTGAACACAAAATGGGATAATCTGTTCACTACTCGTGTGTCGTGGGCTGAAAAGATCAAGCAAAGTAAAAAAACAAACGAATACGTTAAATAAGTGGTTACACGCGTCACAGTCGTTCATCTAGCATATACGCTACTGGCATCATGGTAAAAGATTGAACATGGCCTCATGTTTCCTTGCATGGCCTCACATGACCTATTGCGACCTCATGCATTGGAATGATATTACTACATGTCCTGACTGGAACCAGAGGAGCGTCATTGCGCGATGCGCAATTTGCGTATTGTGTACCGTTTTATTCGGTGTGGTCGCTTATGATCTGACCGCTAAGGGGTCTCGTCCTTTGATTACATCAAACACTTTTATGGCCGGATCTGACCATGCCAAAAATTTGATACGATGACCAACCTAACTTGCCTTACCAACTTAGCCTTACCAACCAACTAACCCAACCAACCTAAGATGAACCAACTTAGCCTTACCGCACAAAGAATGCTACTCAAAATGACCAAAAGGAATTGTTTACAGCATGTATCTCAGCGTTCTCCCCGCACCTGCTTCAGTCCTGGCCCCTCCCCTCCCATTGCATTGGGCTATTCTAAAATATATCAGGGCATCATTTACCCAAGAGTTCCGGATGACTCGATGTCAGCTACCGCATGACAAATCTGAGTGTTCCCCTAGGGATACCTTTCATAAACAACACTTCATAAAATTAGCCGGCTTATGCATTGTGAACGACAGCTCGCGCCAACTGAACGCGCTGACCATGCGCTGTCGGACTGCTGCAGAATAGTGTGCACTAGAAATGTGTGCGCACAGGCTCTTGTGCTCTAGTCTCACTGTTGTTTTCGTCCCGCATCGCCATGGTCCAGGCAGCCGAATGGCCACTGGCACGTCTAAATATTTTCCGCGCTTGAATGTGACATACGGCATATGTGCGGTAGACAGTCCAAATTAATCGTTCAAAGACGTTAAGCCGGCTGCACACAGAAACGGACATTAACGCTACTGAATTTGCTTGCCGTTGTCTCAGAGAATCCTTTTCGCCGTGTTTAGCTACAACCGCGGCATGCCCATCTGATGCGCCTGAATATCTTCCGCGCGGAGGACGGGCAGAAACTCGTGATTTCAAGGCCATGCGCAGTCGACGATATGTCTGCAAATCTTGGCGGCAATTCGCATGACCTTTGCAATGACGGATGTTTGTGGTAATTGCAACCAAACCATGGCGAAATGAAAAAAGGTTTTGGGTGAACACTGATCGCCGTAAACCGGGCTTTGCGCCTGTATCATTTTTACAGCCCGGGCTCGTACCGTTTAGGCTTCAGTGTCATGTATGTGATATTAGCTTGGAAAAAACCGCAATGGGTCGCTTCCCGGCCGTCTGCCAGCGTGTTCTTGCCAATTGGCCTCTTTCAACTGACCACGTCACTGATCTTAGAACATCATAATTCCAAATTTGTTCAAAGAATGCCAAATTGATAGATGAAGAGATGTTGAGAACTTCGCGTTGCTGCGAGCGTTCTTTTTTGGCCTGTGCTCCAAGAACAGTAAGGGAAGTCAACTTTCCCATCACGACCGGGCGTGGGTTGTCGCATGAGTAAATTGGATCGGCACACTCTTAGATGCAGAATTTAAGCTGTAATAGAGTAAATGTTTCGTTGCTTCGCGGTGATGAAAATGTTAACAGCGCAGCAACGCATCATCGCATCAGCGCATGCGCAACCCCAGCCAAGCCCGGGCGAATAAAACACTGCTATAAGGTGAAGGATTCGGGTACTCACTGGAGATATGTGCTGAGTCCAATCTTGGTTTTCGAAACGTAGATGTGGCCGTCAGCACATGCGTAGACGCGGCTGCCCCGTCGCCTACCTTCCCGCACCTCATACTCCATGATAGTCTTGAGGGCAAGGCGTACCACAACCAGGACCGTGTGATGGCGCGATCACAACTGGCGCGATAATGCCGCGAGCCCACCGGCGCAGGGTCACCCTTTTATGACGCCGGCGAAAAATAGCTTTTCCCTCTGAAGACACCCAGACGATGTCCCCATGCGTCCAGGAGTCGCGTCCGATTCGGCCGACCGGGTACTCGCACATCCGTGCCGGTGGCGTGGTTTTCGAGCCAGCATTGTGCAATGCGACACTCCCCAAGACACTGTACCGACTGCGTAGCTCGAATCGCAGCAAACACGCCGCTAGGTTCGCAGCGTGTTCTTTCGCAGTTTTGCCCGATACGATTCCGACCAGCACATGCCGCATGTCTTGAACGTTGTTGACGTGTCTTGGTGTCCTCCGCGTCGCTGCGTTGCTTCTCATAAACATATTTTCAAATTTATTCCCTGACTTCTAGTACCGGCATGTGAAAACTGACTTGAATGACGACACTGATCTAGCATAACCTGGCTAACGTTTCACTTCGCAAAAACATGCCGCGTACGGTAGATGTTGACACGGACCTCATATTATCATTTACAAAATTATTTCGAGCGCTTTTTATCATTTCGTTGTTCCAACCGTCGAAATGGTAAGTAACCTGAAATGCTCACGAGTGATTCCTTTCCTTGGAAAATGATGATGATGCCTATCTGAGCTTTTTGGGCGAATCGACTGTAGGTGGTCATGCAGCACCCACAACTATCATATTCTACAGGGCCGTAAACTAAACAGGAGTATCAAAAAAATCTTATTTAGTCTTGGCCAGGCATTATGTCATCGTGAAAATATCACCTAAAAATCTTATTGGTCGCAGGAGCGAGGGAAGTTGTCAAGAATGGGGGATGGGTCAGAGGCATTTGAGTCGTTTCTTTCCATGTACCGCCGGAAGCCTAGTGCTGAATTATCTCAGTTGCTGGGAAGTGGAATATATGCCCCAAGGTCCTCTCCCCCCCCCCCCCCCCCCCAATAACGCCATCGTTACCTCGCCTATGCTTGGTCATATCGTCCCCACCCCGGCGTCCCGGTTGTTATGGTGGCGGCTGGCGGCCGGGGGTTGTTTGGCCCGTCCCGTTGCGAAGGGGGGGCTGCTCCCCCCCCGCCGCCCCAGACAAGTTGGCGCGTGGGGAGGACGGCTCCTGGAAGTGTTTTGGTGAGCGTGCTGGGCGCATCGGTGAGATGTGCATTGTGCAATATCATTTCCGTTTCGTTCATTGTGCTGTCGTGTGGCAGGACTCTTTTATATTGACTTGTTGTCTTTGATAACACCGGCCCACTTGCAGGGCCGCGCCATGTTGCTTGGAGAGCGAAAAGCCTTCCAATATTGTGCATCCTTGCCCACTTAGTGACGTGGAAACCCCTCCTATAGTAACATGAACCTCAATTAAAAAGTCGGTTCCAGTCATTGTGTACAGCGTCATATAAGGCTTATTTATGTATGGGTGAGAAATCTCTCTCCCCTCATTGAAGAAGGCTTTAGGCGAGGTCCTGGGCCTGCGTGATTTTTTTCTTGTGCAACGATACATTTGCGATATATCTCGCCTGTTTCTTTTGATGTACTTGCTTGCAATATGCGAACGATGCGTTGTTGGTGTTTTCGGCTTGCGGCCCTTTTTGCGTATTTTCTCCGGCAGGATGAAGCTCGCTGTTGCGGATATTGATGACAGCGGTATGGACATCAACTTCAGCCCTTCGTTAGCTGGGGAGGTGCTCCGCTGTTGAACTGATGGGCTGCTGCTGAGAACGCAGCTACTCTGCTCTGGATGGCTGTTTGAGGAGTTGCTGCTGGCCGCCCGGAAGCTTTCAGTCTGCCAGCAAGCTGGCACAGCAATCAGAGGCCTCTGCCAGTCATCTGGTGGCTGCTCCAGAATCATCATTTTTAGGAGAAGTAGGCATTGTGCCATATGGGCCCGTAATGCTCAGTTCGTGCTTCACGAACAATTCTGCCAAAATCTACGTCGATGATTTCCTTGCCACGATTATTGGTAACTCCATACCATGGACATGGCAAAGATAAAATCTGCTATATTTCTCTGAGCACTTTCGCAGGCAACAGTAGCAAACCAAGTTTTCGAATTGTGTCATAAAAAAGGAAATTGGCACTCTTTTCACACAAAGCATTCTCACAGCAGTCTTTTTCAAACTGGGCTGGCGGTGTTTGCCAGGAATCTGCTGTTTTATTCTTTATTGCATGTATTTTTATTAAGTGCACCTTTTCATCCTTGGCTGCTTTCGTTGCCATCAGCCACAATCCATTCATTCCGGGGGCAAACAGCGAGGTGCCTTAAACGACCCAAACTCACCCTTTAATGACTGAAGTGGATCGGAAACCAACCGCTTTAGAATAAGAAATTACTATCGAGATAATATCGTATTCTCACATCGACCGATGACAGTCACTATGCTCCAATCTGTTTGATCATGACAATGACAAGCTTGTTAGCATCGTCCTGGTGAATTAAACTACAACGCTTCATTTCTTTTATGGATTATGCCGTTATCTCATAAATGGCACCATGGATGGTTTGGTGTCGTTATTGTGACCGTATGAAGACTAAGTCAAGTCTGCTTTCAGGCAAGCACTCCATGCAAGAGGCCTTACGTAAACATTTCCCATACAAGTACCCCGAGCAAGTGCGTGTGTAGTGCATTTCTGCACTGCTATTCGGCATAGCTACGTTCGTTATTATCAACCTCGGCAAATGGCTTAACATAAAATCAGTTCTTTTGAGTAGTAAACTCTGTTTATATGAAAAATCATCGTCGCTCACGTTGTGGAGCAGTAATCTGAGGAACCAAAGATCGTTATTTTCAGGGGCCATCCTGCTGCAGCACACCGCGCTACGGTGTCTCCCGCAACAAAACGAAATAGGTAGCAGGAAAATGGTTTCCGCTGGAGAGACCGCGACGACGGCACGAAACACTGCGCTGACGACTGCACCAACGGCAACGCATGGCATTCGTTGAATAATTCGGTGATTATCGCATTGGGCATGATAACAGAAAAGTGTATGTTTTGTGCAATGGGCGACTCTGGACATGGTGTCCGATAATCTGCACTTGCGTTGCAGCAAGTTGGTGGCAAGCGACAAGCAGGTGATGCGCAGTCAATAGGTCACAGCATCGACCGCAAGGCGGTCTGTCGCCAGCCAATGCTATGGCGGTGTGTAACATATGTGTGTCATATGCGTTGTTGGCACAGGGCAAGTTCCTCCCTCGTATTGTTGCGGAAACGCAACTGCAACTTCCGATACGGGGTTTCACTGAGTTCAGCTTGTTGGCGCTGTCCCAGTGGTGCGCCGCCATCGCTCCCGCATAAAAGACGACACCACGGCGTACGTGTCCTGAGTTGGTTGTGGTATTACAGGAGTGTGTGTCCCAATCGTAGTGCGATTTGCCGCGGCATCAGCAAGATCATTTCCTTAGATCCCCACGTGACTTGGGACGCAACACAGTAGCGGACCGTTTTTCCTGTTCGAACCAGAGGGGTAAGACGTGTCTGAATGTCCTGGACCCGTAGATTCGACGTGGAGAAGCCGCAAAACAGCCAGGAGGCTGCTCATGGTGTCGGAAAGAGCCAAAGAAGATCGCTAGCCAAGTTTTTAAAACAAAGTTTTGATGATGGCTGTCAGCTCGGAAAGTGAAAACTGACGCGTGTGTAGCCCGCGCAAATGGCCGTGTTTTTTAGCCACATACAACAGCGCTTCCTATGCCTGCATGCGTCGTAACACAATCCGTGTAAGTCGTCAAGTATCCGTCAAAGAAGACCATGCACTTTAAGGCCGTGTTTCCAAGTTCTATCGCGATTACGTTGTTTTCGTGTTTGATAAGGAACGTCCACTTTTGGCGGCGCTTACTTCCAAGGGGCAATTCCTTTCTTTAGATTTGATTACACCTCATAAGTTGAAGCCGCCACATTGTCGTGACTGTTGGAGTGGCCTTCGTAAGCCGCACGAAAATACTGCTTTGTAGATGGAATAATCTGGGAACTGCGCTAGCTTGCACGTGTGGCTCAGTCCCAGCACCTGCCTTCGCAATGCTAGTGGGGTGCTCCTGAGCCTCTACCAGGAGACTATCATGTCAATGATCATGACTATATATGATATTCGCCTGCGGTTTCCGCAAAACAGACAAACCTATTCCACGGGACCGGCGATTGATCGTGGGACGTAACCGGTTATTTCTGCGCCTTGCATCAAATGTCGCCTTTGAATGATGGCAGGACGCACTGCCGTTGTATTAAACAACATTGCATTGTATCGAACACTGACAAACGGTCGGTGCCGGCCAAATCAATTCTCCTGACCCGCGAACACAAGACGCTCAATCTATGCCACGTGATCTATTTCACATGGCTGTGAATGTGATAGGTTTGGACGTTTGGACGTCCAAACCCTCTGACCTGTATTCATGAGAATGCGTGAATACAGTAGAAGATTCACGTGAATGCTTCGCAATGCTAATGGGGGCTCGTGCGCTTCTACCAGACGACATGGACGACGTTCGAAAAGCCCCTGTGGTCATGCGTAGTGCGACGTAGTGCACCGTGTTCAAAGTGCGTTTGCAGGTCTGTTGTACCGTCATAATAAAGCAGTTGTAGTCAAGTCTTTAAAGAATGAGGGAACGACAGAGGTGAGAGCGTACTCCTATAAACACCGTATGACGTACGTCCCACGGACGCTAAGGTGTTAAGGGATTTTAAACATTCGTCGCGGAGGCTTTTGTGTGCATTCAGTATGTTACCTGTCGGTCAAATCGTATACCTACAGATTTTCTTGGAGAGGGTACGTTGGTTACAGGGCTGTTGGTTACATGAGGATACCCAGGGTCATTTCAGGTACTTGTTTCAAGTTTGACATTGCGTGACATCAGTGAAACCGAACGTCACGATCTAGAGATGTAAAATATTTTCAGGAACGAGTTCACATGGGGCCTTGCCCACCATATTGGTGTTGCTATGTTCATTAATTTTTAGTATTTCACGGGGTTGATTGACTACCAGAGGGCATCTTATTCAAGCTGCCACCAGA